TTGTCACACCATTTCTCATTTCAAATTTGGTCTAACGTTATCTGAATTAGGAAGCATAGTTGTACAACATTTGCTTACATCAGTGTTTCCCAACCGGGGGTACGCGTACCCCTAGTGGTACGCGAGGGAACTGTAGGGGGTACGTGGAATTCCAAGGTGACAAGTAAAACAAATAATAATCCCGTCAAAAATGATAGTGCGCGATTTGTTTCCCTAGGGAGACAATAGTCTGTGGCACAACCGCGCCAAAATCCCACAATGAAAACAGCTGTTTACCTGCAGCCAGAAAAATACTGGTAGGTCTGCGCTATGGATAAATGGCTGAAACATCCGCTTGCTCTGGATTCAGGCCAGGGTTCAGAGGAGCCCACCGAGAAACGTAAGAAAGAGGCCAAACTGAAACCAATGCAGTACAGTGAAACATATATATTATTTGGATTCATTTCTACTTCTGCGGACCCACCGCAGCCTCAGTGCTTCTTTTGCGGTGAAGTCCTGGCTAATAGTGCGATGAAGCCAGCGCATTTACAGAGACACCAGAGCACCAAACACTCGGGAAGTGTCGATAAAAGTGAATAATTTTACAGACGAAAGATGTCGGAATTTAAGTCGAGCCAGACAGTAATGATGAAAGCCACGAATGTGTCAATGAAAGCACTCGAGGCATCTTACGCCGTGTCCCTGCTTGTGGCTAAATAAATAAAAACTCACTCTATTGTTGAGGAGCTCATTCTCCCTGCAGCGACTGCGTTGGCCGAAATGATGATAGACAAGAAAGCAGCCGAAACACTCGAGAAAGTTCCCCTGTCGAATAACACCGTATCCTGTCGGATCAATGATATGTCTGTGAATATAATTGGACAAGTGGTGAACAAAATCAAACTAGCCGGTCAGTTCGCTTTGCAGCTGGATGAAATGACAGATGTGAGTGGAGAAGCTCAGCTCCTGTCCTTCGTGCGTTACAAAGATGCGTCGGACATAAACTATGGAGGTTATTCCCTATCTTTATTCAAGAGCATGGTATTTAAATTTGAGAGCATACTTTATGTATTTCTTTCCCTCAAACCCTGTCCTCGCACTCAAATAGTGCCTGCTTGCACTTAGATTCGCTCTGCTTCTGTGCGCGCTCGAAACTTTTGTGCAACAATCCTGTCAAAATCCCTCAACCAATAGGAAGCCAGGAGTCCTTGCGGGTGCGTTCGCTTTACTTATTACAGCGTCCCGTAAGGGCGGTTACTCTTTGGTTTATAAACTCCCGCCCTCCACGGCTTTATAACATAGTACTGCACTTGTTTGATTTACAACTACCTTACATAATAGCTACGTTCAGTGGCGGACTGGGACTAAAAATCAGCCCGGGAATAAAATAAAATCGTCCCTCCGTTGCCTTCTGCACATAGTGCGAGGTGGTTGCTATGCAACAACAAGAACAGATAGCGAATGTCGTCGTTTAGGTGCTTTTTTTTCTGGAGATAGGCACTTCTCAATCCACTCCTCCATAGTAAGCCCACCCCGGAGGTCGAAGTTAACCTTAAATGTTTCCATCTTAAGCTTAGTTAGTTAGTTAGTTAGTTTACTATATAAAGTTTAGTTTAGGATTTTATAACGGTTCTCAGACGCGGAGGGATACTGATTTGTGAAAAGTAACAACAACTATTCCCTGGATATAGGCCTACGCTCATTATATCACGGCTAAGAAACATCAGATTGCTTGATTTGACTTGTCCGTTTTATAAACATATACTAACTGTGCTTAACCCCCCCCCCCCCCCCTCCCAAAACAAAGTTGTAAATGACTGGTGAAAAGAAACTGCTAGGCCATACTGATTCTGGATATTATTTTGCTAAGTGTTTTGTTCCTGAATTAAAGTTTAAATGCCTGTTTAAAGGGGACTTATTCAAAGGGGCTCCATGGTTTAAGCCTAAATGTTACAAGATATATATAGCAAAGATAAGTTGATTATTTTTGATTTCATATGTATTTATTTGATTATATTATTTATTTTCAAGGCAACATATTCATTTTTATTGAGTGATTTAAGTTAAAATTAAGAAAATGCCTGAGAATTAGATGTTCAAATTAAGGAGATGAAATAAAGTTATTTTCATTCAATAATCAGTTACGTTCTACTTGTGAAGGATCATCAGCACGTATGAGTGAGGGGGTACTCATGGTATGACAAAAGGCTCAGGGGGTACACAAGACAAAAAAGGTTGGGAACCACTGGCTTATATGATCCAGTTCTCCAAAGCAAGGATAAGCTTTAAGAATCTTGGAAGGCCTGTCCTGCTCCTTTGTAACATCAGAGTCAATGAAGGCCCTTCTCGCTTGGATTTCGAGGTCCAGGAGCTGAGCAACATCCATCTTGTTCGGTCTGGCCTTGGTTTTATACATCGCCTGTAGAGTCTTATAGTGTCTTGCCTGGGTCTGTGGGCTCTCCGTTTCTGATGCTAGAAAACATAAACCCCACTATTTTCATTTCTGATGTTAAAGTTGAAATGAGACATTAACACACAAACAGCCATAGTGACTGACACAGGGCAAACATAGATGAGTAATCTTGAATAAAAAAGGGTTCTAAAATAGCTTATTGATATTATTAAATTTTCTTGAAGAGATTTAACTATCTACTATTTCAATTGATGTACTTACCACATAACTGTTCAGCCTCCGGGGTGCTGCATCGAGATGGTGGTGATCTCTCCAAGATCAAGGTTGATGCGGTGGATTCATCAGTCTCATCAGTGTACGTCTCATGGCTGCTCTGAAAGCTTAAACTCCTAGGCCTCTTTCTTGAAGGAGTTGAACCCTGCTTCTTTTTGGGGGTTGTCACATTCTGGACCCTTTTCAAAAGCTGCTTTTTCACAGTTTCCTTACAAGACAGACACACAACAGGTTCTGTTATAACTCACATAAAACAAACTTGTATCAAACAAAATACACCATACAAGCAGTTGCACAGAGCTCTTATTGAACTGGATAAAACACATCACTCCCAGTTTGATAGGCAAATGATTGCAGTGCTTTGTCTGAACCATGAGTTGAAAACTTGAATAGTGACATACCCACTCAGCTCTACTGGTTTGAGATCTGTCCCGAAGCATTGGGTAGTACTCAATCAGACGCTTCGCCATTACAGTGAGTTCACGGCTGCATGGATAGTTCAAGTCATCCCCAGCTGCTCTTTTAATGGAAAGCATGCTTGTGACTGTATTCCTGATTAATCGACAGCGAAGATCTTTGGAAAGGACGTAGTCTCCTTCTTCTCCAGCACGCTGCTTTTCAGAAAAGGTGCTTCGTGATTGCTCCAATTCTGTGTCTGTGTATAAGACATACAGTAGACTGGGAAGCTGTACGGTTCTGCTGGCACCATGTTGGGGTTGTGGGCTTTGAGAGGAGAATGAGGGTGGAGAAAAGACGGGGATGGAGAGGGGTTGGGGCAGGAGGAGGAAGAGGAGGAAGAGGAGGGAAACAAGGAAGGTTGGGGGGTAGGAATAGGGCTGAAATCACAAGTCCCATGGGAGGTACTCGGTCTACACAGGTCTGTCTCCTGGCCCTGTATAAAAGATGCATATATATATATAAAATGGTATTTACAATGAAAAGAGCACTACGCTGTGACAACAACAAAAATCAACACAACCAAAAAACTCCACTTCAAATAACTGCATGATGACTAGGAAAGGCTTACTTGGTAACCGGTTTAAAGTCCCTCAAATGTTAGAATCTGGAATTACCTCATTTTCATCATGATTGAGTCTCCAAATGGTTCTTCTTCTTCTGAAGTGCTCAGGCCCGGGAAGGAGATCACGCAAGTCCTCCTTAGAGAGGCTGGGCAGCATGTCTCTGCTTATATTAGCAGCTGAAAACACATTTAACCACACAGTTAATAATAAGGTAAAAAGCAACTAATAACATATTTATCTAAATACATAAAATGAAAGAGTAATGTACATTTCTGGCTGGCTTCACAAGATTTTCTTTAACATTAAAAAATGTATTGCACTTACTTATAATTGATTGAAAAAATTGCTGTTACAATAGGTTCATCCAGAGTTAAAGTTATTTTGGCCAAATGAAAATGAAAAGGCACCAGGGAAATGAATAAACGAGGCATGTTGTTAGGATAAATCCATAACACAAATGTGTAAAATCTCATAGGCTATAAAAGTTATACATTTTCAGCATCTTTTATAGTACAATAAAACAAATCTTGATGTTTAAGAGCAAACACAGTTAAACTTATTTTCAAAACAGTGTCTTTACCTTGAAATCTTTATTCAAATAAGCATAATTTACGTCCCAAGCCTGCTTATATCCAAAGGACAGTGTAGTTTCAATAGCCGGCACTGCACTATCATACAACAACGCATTTGTAAATGCTGTCTACAACAAAGAAGGGCGCCAAAGATGGCTATGCTAGTGTACAACAAAGAAGGGCGCTAAAGATGGCTATGCTAGTGTACAACAAAGAAGGGCGCCAAAGATGGCTATGCTAGTGTACAACAAAGAAGGGCGCCAAAGATGGCTATGCTAGTGTACAACAAAGAAGGGCGCCAAAGATGGCTATGCTAGTGTACAACAAAGAAGGGCGCCAAAGATGGCTATGCTAAATACTTTACTGTCAGTTGTGGAAGGCTCATTTGCTTCTTGACATTATTTCTGGCAATAAAACAGTATCAACTAAAATGTTAACCACGATTTGTCGATTGTGCAGTTATTAACAGCTTACAGTAGATATTAGCTAAGTTAACTAGATATGTAGCCAGCCTAGCTAAGTCCAACCGATTAAAATAATGTAAAGCTTGCTGGAGAGGTGCAGTATAAAATACAAAATTACATTACCTTTTAATGCTGCAGTTGCTATAGGATCCAAGCATGTGATATATCTTCCATTTTCATCCATGGCGTAGTTTTAATGTTCAATCACTTGCAGAGGTTCAGTCTTCTGCCTGAAGGAAAGCTAGCCAGCAACGTCCTGAAGCTAGGTACACCTGACCTAACACACGCCCTTAACGGACCCTCTTCGCGGTTCCCATTGGAAGGTACCATTTCTTAAAGAGGGGTGACAGAGATATTTTATATGTTGCAAATATTAGGAATATTAATAACTGATGCGGTCATAGGTAACATTTCAAACATCTGTTTCTAGATGCACATCATTCCACAAGTTATTCCCAGGCATTATTATGACGTGTATATATATATAGGAAGACGACTCACCGGCCTCCCCCATACAGCTAGAGAATGTGATAAACCCACTTCATTAGTTATTTTCCCCAACGTGTACATGGCCTGCTGCAGAAACGTTTTAATATCGTTAACTTTTGGAAGATTTCACGATGCTTTGGCGGTGCGTTATCTGCTGCGTTTTTATAACTTTTTCACTGAAATTATTATTGAGCCATATTAATCGACTGCACAGTCGCAGCTCTGACTTCAGGTTGCTCTGTGGCATTGATGGATGCACTGAGGAATATAGAGTGTACAACTCATTCTACCATCATGTAAAGAGAAGACACTTTCAACATCTTCTTGAAGACACCAGACCTGGCGACGCCACACGTGGAGATGAAAACCGACAGGAGGAAACCCAAGGACCGCAGCAAAAAGTAAGTAACGTCTGCTAATTCAGCTAAGATTGTTAGCTACAGTGTTTGGGCCACGTGGCCACTCGGATACAGGGTTAGTTTCGTACATTGTGTGATGCTACAGATAGCGTTAGCCACATTTAGTTATTATAAATCCATTAGCATTAACTAATGAATCTGCTAGGCTACAAGCAGGCGGCATCTGTCAACCATATATTTTTAATTCAGCAGTTAGCTATGTAGTGTTTTTGTGGGGATGAAAAAACCGTTAAAAATATGCATTACGTTGGTGTTCGGCCACAGTTACTAAAACAGTAAATCACAAAAATTATGGTTTTCCACTTTTTCACTCTGCAATATTCTGCAAGGTGCATGCATCCCTGTCAGGATCTGCACATGATTTGTTGAATTCACAGTTTTAGCAAATCAGAAATAAATCTCAAATTCTTTACCCACTATTAAACTTAAAACAAAAATAAATAGATTTTCAGATTTGATTAGAAAAAAAAGTTTCATGGTTTTGTTTTCTGGACTGAAAAAATGTAATAAAGAGTGTTACCCAGACAATGGATAAAGTGCTACGGCTTACAGTTAATAATTGTTGCTGAAATAACTCTTACCCCCAAAGTTGGTTTAATGTGAAAATAATCTTAGATAGAAAGGAATTACATATTTAAATTGCTCTTTTAGTGAAGCTAATTTTTTTTAAATTTTTTACAATTTCAAACAATCTTGTTTCTTTGATATGTTGTACACAGGACAACATTCAACCCGATCAGCTTCCAGCCGACTCCAGCAGCGAGGATCAGAACCTTCACACACCTGACTCAGTTGAAGAGCAAATGGGCATCGACCAAGATGGAGCTGTCACAGTGCACCAAGTATGTTTTCTTTGTTGTTGACTATCTACTGAAAATTAAGGGCTGCTAAATAAAGGTCAGGCCGATATAGTAGTGGCTAATATTGGCCTAGCATATAATTTATATATCAATATTATGTTGAAATATTTCATTTAAATTCACCAAATGATTCATAAAACCTAGAGGTATATGTGAAGATGTATTTCTATGTGCTGTACTAGCAAAACTAAATGAACACATAAAGAGTTAGAATGGCTTATTGTCTTGTTGGAGTACTAATGTTTGATATGTTTTGGTCAGAGTTACAAAATATTAAATTATCTATCTTTGCTCACCACATGTCACCAGTTTTTTATCATCAGATGTGCATACATTTAAAGATTATATATTTCTGTCACATTGAGTAATGTTATACCTGCAAATGTCAAGTTACTACATTTTGTATTGTAGGATCTGACAACACATGCCACTGCCTTTGTTATCAATGCCCGATCCAAGCATCGTCTGTCACAGGTAAAATGCTTCCAATGTAACCTTTTTGGACTAAAAGCATTATGCCATGTGTGATCTGCTTCTCAGAACATATTAACAGGAAATATTTTGTGTGCGACAAAGAAATGCAAATGAGCATTTATTATCCAGAAATTCAAGCCATTCACTCTGACTAACCCAGTAAGGGATTTCCCATATTTTATTACAATTTATAACCAGACACAGTGTAGCCATATATTAAGTTAGACCTAGTTTTTCTTTGAGAACAGAGCACAGTATTTGGCTACCTACTGTACACAGTTAGCAGTTAATAGTGGTTCACTGATGGCCGAGTTCAGTTTTAGTGCTTTGTTATCCACTTTACTGTTGTGTCTATGTCATAAGCAAAACTGTATATCACATAAAGCTACAGTGATCATGATAATGTTTACCAACATCAAAGATTGATCACATCGCTTTCAATCTCTCATTTTCAGAAAGGCATGAATGACATTGTTGCTGGGGTACAGCAGTATCAATCATCACTATTGGACAACCTCAGGACGCAGATGAAGGAAGTTCTAAAGAAGAATTCAGGAAGTACAACCAATCAACTTGGAAAAGATGCAATGGATATATTTGACAGTTTCATTGACCCCATTGCTAACGTTTCAACAACATTTCGCCAGAACAGTGTTATTAGGAAGCAGTTTTGTTGTGTGGATGCAGAGGAAATTCCAATTGCTCGAACCATATGCAGGAAGAAACGTGGAGGATCAACAGATTTTGTCATCAAAGACAAATTATTTTATTATGTACCATTAGTCAAAAGTGTAGAGCAGTTCCTATTACATCCAAGGATTTTGACTATGATTGAAGAGGTACCCCAGAGGTGCAGTGAAGGTTTTTTTCATGACCTTGTTGATGGTTCTCTTTTAAAATCTCATCCCTTATTTTCAGAGAAACCAAATGCACTGCAGATTATTCTGTATACAGACGAAATAGAGATCTGTAATCCACTAGGATCCTTTTCATCAAAGAACAAGTTGTTAATGGTGTACTACACCCTAGGAAATATAAATCCAAAATACAGGTCTAAGCTGGCTGCTATTAGGCTACTTGCGATGGCTAAATCAGCAGACCTCCGTCAATCTGGTGTAGATGTAATATTGAATAGAATAAAGGAAGACATGGATGCATTGTACAGTGGTGTTAAAATTCAAACTATTAACGGGGAGAAAACAATACATGGTGCTATGGTTTCTCTCTGTGGTGACACCCTGGCACAGCATGAACTCGCAGGGTTCAAAGAAGGAGTGGGCTTTGCTTACAGTAAGTGCAGACACTGTGAGTGTTCTTTTGAGGACATGCAGTCACAATTCAACGAGGATGCATATATTAAAAGAACATTGGAGAATCATGTCAGACAGTGTGATGAAATAGAAAAGGCTAACACAGACTTGCTTCGCAACAGCCTTAGAACAACATATGGGATCAATCGAAGGAGCAAGTTAGTTGACTTCCCATCCTTTGATATTATTCGGCAAACCCCGCAAGACATTATGCATGTCATTCTTGAGGGTATAGCTCCTCTGGAAATTAAATGTGTTTTGAATCATCTTGTTCAGTCAGGAGAGTTAAATCTGGACTCTGTGAATTCAGCTATTCTTGGTTTCCCTTATTCGCCTCTAGATGTTAGAGATCGACCATCCCCAATTTCTCCGAGTACACTGATGTCAACTGATGGTAAACTAAGGCAGTCATCAGGGCAAATGCTTGTCCTGTTGAGGATATTGCCATTTGTTTTGGAACATTTGGAAGTCAATGCATATGTGCAGTTGATAATGGACTTAATAGAGATTGTTCAAATAGTGTTTGCACCTGTTCTTACCATTGCAACTGTGTCAAGGTTAAAGTTACTGATTGAAAGTCATTTGAAGCATTGGAAGGAGCTTTTTCCAGACCACAATGTTACACCTAAGCAGCATTACATGATACATTTGCCATCACAGATAGAATCATTGGGTCCCATGGTCAGACATATGTGTATGCGGTTCGAGTCTAAGCATTGTTTATTTAAGCAATGGGCCTCCAAGCTCAATTTTAAAAATGTATGCAAGTCTTTGATTAATCAGAACCAAATATATGAAAGCTGCCAAAATGTTGACCCTTCCAAGCACCCAATTTTTTCAAATGAAAAGGAGATGGGTCCTGTATCTGTGTTGGTGTTTTTCTTGTCTTTTTCTATCTTTGGGTTTCCTGTTTTATTTTGTAAAGTGTTCACCCCCGTTTCCTGCCTGTTTGCTTTCTTTCTGTTTCCCTCCCCGATTGTGTTCACCTGGTACCTCTGTGTTTTCTCCTCCCTCCTCACCTGTCTCGTGTTTATGTGATTAGTCCTGGGTGTATTTAAGTTCTGGGTTTTCTGTCTCTCTTTGTCGGGTTGTCTTGTGTTATGACCAGTTCATCGGTGAGTGTTCCGTGCTGTCTTTGTGTAGCCTATATCTAGCCTTGAAATAAAGGAATTATTGTTACTCTAATCTGCATTTGGGTCCTGCTTCCTGCACACCGTAACAGCCACCGTAACATTACAACCCGACCCTAAATATGGGCCCAGCAGATCCTTTTGAGCAGGAGCTATTGGAGTTTTCCTTTGCTTTGGATGACTGCTCGTATCGATGGTTGGGAGCGTCCAGGGTTCAGCAGCGAGAGGCTGTTCTGGCAGAGGCACGCCGGATTACGATGGAGAAGCCAGGCTTGGTTAAGTTCTTATCGGGCAAGATTTTGGATTTTCTCACGGTGTGTTATCCCCTGCCTGACAGCCCCAGGCCTCCCAACTCCCGTTTTGATACCACACGCATTGGTGTGGTCCGTCTGGCGTCAGCCCCTGCTTCTCACCCAGTGTTTGCTACTGTCCTGGAGCCATTAGCTGGTACTCGTCTGGCCTTTGGAGGTCCACGGAGCCTCCAAACGGCTCCTAAAGGAAGGAGTCGCAAGGCCAGGTTGGCAGCACGAGCCCAACGGGCCAGGGTTCCAGAACCAGTTCAGCCCCCAGCAGCCATGGTTACAGCCCCAGTACAGGCCCCAGCAGCCATGTTTACAGCCATGGTTCCAGACCCAGTCCCGGCCCCAGCTGCCATAGTCCCTTCTCTAGTCCCTTCCCTAGTTCCTCCTCAGGTCACTTTCCTAGTCCCTTCTCTAGTCCCTACTCAATTCCTTTCTCAAGTCCTTTCTCAAGTACCTCCTCTAGTCACTTCCCTAGTCCCTTCTCCAGTTTCCCCTTTAGTCACCTCTCTAGTCCCCTCTCCAGTTTCCTCTCAAGTTCCTTCTCTAGTCTCTTCTCGAGTCACCTCTCGAGTTCAATCTCAAGTCCCTCCTCTAGTCCCCTCTCTAGTCCCTTCTCTAGTCCCTACTCAAGTCCCTCCTCTAGTCAATTCCCTTGTCTCATCTCTAATCCCATCTCTAGTCCCATCTCTTGTCCCATCTCCAGTCCCCTCGCCAGTCCCCTCCTTTAGTCCCTCCTCTAGTCCCTCCTCGAGTCCCCTCTCTAGTTCCCCTCTCGAGTTCCCTTCTCTAGTCCTTTCCCTAGTCCCTCCTCAGGTCACTTCTCTAGACCCATCTCCAGTTCCCTCTCAAGTTCCCTCTCGAGTCCCCTCTCCAGTTCCCTCTCGAGTTCCCTCCTCTAGTCTCTCCTCTAGTCTCTCCTTTAGTCCCTCCTTTAGTCCCTCCTTTAGTCCCATCTCTAGTCCCTCCACTAGTCCTTCCTCGAGTCCCCTCTCTAGTTCCCCTCTCGAGTCCCCTCTCGAGTTCCCTTCTCTAGTCCTTTCCCTAGTCCCTCCTCAGGTCACTTCTCTAGACCCATCTCCAGTTCCCTCTCAAGTTCCCTCTCGAGTCCCCTCTCCAGTTCCCTCTCCAGTTCCCTCCTCTAGTCTCTCCTCTAGTCTCTCCTTTAGTCCCTCCTTTAGTCCCTTCTCTAGGCCCTCCACTAGTCCCTTCTCGAGTCCCCTCTCTAGTTCCCCTCTCGAGTCCCCTCTCGAGTTCCCTCCTCTAGTTCCTCCTCTGGTTCCTCCTCTGGTCCCCTCAGGAGTTCCCTCTCTAGTTCGCCTCTCGAGTCTCCTCTCGAGTCCCCTCTCGAGTTCCCCCTTGGTTCCCCTCTCGAGTTCCCCCTTGAGTCACGTCTCAAGTCCCGACCCAATGTCCTGGTCCGTTGGAGGTTCCGCTGGGGGTCCTGCCAACTCCAAGTACTGTCCCGTTGGAGGCCCCCTCAACTACTCCTCTGCCGGGGGTCCTACCGATCCATGTACTGTCCCATTGGAGGTCCCGCCGACTACTCTCCTGCCGGGGGTCCTGCCAACCCTTTGTCCTGTCCCGTTGGAGGCCCCGTCGACTACTCTCCTGCTGGGGGTCCTGCCAACCCTTTGTCCTGTGCCGTTGGAGGCCTCGCCGACTACTCTTCTGTCGGGGGTCCTGCCAACCCTTTGTCCTGTCCCGTTGGAGGTCCCGCCGTCTACTCTCCTGCCGGGGGTCCTGCCAACCCTTTGTCCTGTCTCGTTGGAGGCCCCGTTGATTACTCACCTGCCGGGGGTCCTACCAACCCCATGTCCTGTTCCGTTGGAGGTCCCGCAGACTGCTCTTCTGCCGGGGGTCCTGCCAACCCTTTGTCCTGTCCCGTTGGAGGTCCCGCCGTCTACTCTCCTGCCGGAGGTCCTGCCAACCCTTTGTCCTGTCCCGTTGGAGGGCCCGCCGTCTACTCTCCTGCCGGGGGTCCTGCCAACCCTTTGTCCTGTCTCGTTGGAGGTCCCGCCGTCTACTCTCCTGCCGGGGGTCCTGCCAACCCTTTGTCCTGTGCCGTTGGAGGCCCCGCCGACTACTCTCCTGCCGGGGGTCCTGCCAACCCTTTGTCCTGTCCCCTTGGAGGTCCCGCCGTCTACTCTCCTGCCGGGGGTCCTGCCAGCTCCTTGTCCTGTCTCGTTGGAGGTCCCGCCGACTACTCTCCTGCCGGGGGTCCTGCCAACCCTTTGTCCTGTGCCGTTGGAGGCCCCGCCGACTACTCTCCTGCCGGGGGTCCTGCCAACCCTTTGTCCTGTGCCGTTGGAGGTCCCACCGTCTACTCTCCTGCCGGGGGTTCTGCCAGCTCCTTGTCCTGTCTCGTTGGAGGTCCCACCGACTACTCTTCTGCCGGGGGTCCTGCCAACCCCATGTCCTGTGCCGTTGGAGGTCCCGCAGACTGCTCTTCTGCCGGGGGGCCCTGCCAATTCCATGTCCTGTGCCGTTGGAGGTCCCGCAGACTACTCCTCTGCCGGGGGTCCTGCCAACCCCATGTCCTGTGCCGTTGGAGGTCCCGCAGACTGCTCTTCTGCCGGGGGTCCTGCCAATTCCATGTCCTGTGCCGTTGGAGGTCCCGCAGACTACTCTTCTGCCGGGGGTCCTGCCAACCCCATGTCCTGTGCCGTTGGAGGTCCCGCGGACTGCTCTTCTGCCGGGGGTCCTGCCAGCTCCAGGTCCTGTGCCGTTGGAGGTCTCGCAGACTACTCTTCTGCCGGGGGTCCTGCCAACTCCATGCTTTGTCCCGTTGGAGGTCCAGCAGACTACTCTTCTGCCGGGGGTCCTGCCAACTCCATGTCTTGTCCCGTTGGAGGTCCCGCAGACTGCTCTTCTGCCGGGGGTCCTGCCAACCCTATGTCCTGTCCCGTTGGAGGTCCCACCGACTGCGCTCCTGCCGGGGGTCCTGCCAATCCTGTGTCCTGTCCCGTTGGGGGTCCCGCCGACTGCCCTCCTGCCGGGGGTCCTGCCAACCCTATGTCCTGTCCCGTTGGGGGTCCCGCCGACTGCGCTTCTGCCGGGGGTCCTGCCAACTCCTGGTCCTCTTCCGTGGGGAATCTTGCCGACACCTGTCCCACCGGCTCCGGATCCTGTCCGGTCGACACCGGCTCCTGCCCGGCCTCCGGAGCTGTCCGGTCTTCGCCCTCGAGCCTGGCCGCCTGAGAGTCGCGGTCTTCGCCCTCGAGCCCGGCCCCCTGAGAGCCGCGGTCTTCGCCCTCGAGCCCGGCCCCCTGAGTGCCGCGGTCCTCGCCCTCGGGCCCGGTCCACTGACTCTTCCTGCCGTTGCCTTCGCCCTCGGGCCCGGCCCCCTGACTCTTCCTGCCTCTGCCTTCGCCCCTCCATGGTCCTCACCTTGGACTCTGTCTTGCCCCCGGGCCGTCCGCCCGAGTCCCCCTTTTTGGACTCTGCCTTGCCCCCGGGCCGTCCGCCCGAGACCCCTTCCTGGTCCTCTGCCTTGCCCCCGGGCCCTCCGCCTGAATTCCCCTTTTTGGACTCTGCCTTGCCCCCGGGCCGTCCGCCCGAGACCCCTTCCTGGTCCTCTGCCTTGCCCCCGGGCCCTCCGCCTGAATTCCCCTTTTTGGACTCTGCCTTGCCCCCGGGCCGTCCGCCCGAGACCCCTTCCTGGTCCTCTGCCTTGCCCCCGGGCCCTCCGCCTGAATTCCCCTTTTTGGACTCTGCCTTGCCCCCGGGCCGTCCGCCCGAGACCCCTTCCTGGTCCTCTGCCTTGCCCCTGGGCGGTCAGTTCAGTCCCGTCCTCCTGACCCCCTCCACCCACCCTGGTGGCTTAGTGATGCGTTTGACTTGGCTGGTGCTGTTATTTCTGTATACTGCATTTCATATATGGACATACTTAATTGATGTACTGGGTTTTAGAGCGACAATAAAACAATGAATTTCATTTGGTCCTTATCTGTTTTTAATATGTTAAGAGATGAAAAAGGATAGGATGCTTGCAATAAGATATTCTGACTTTGAAAAAGCAGTTTTCTACTTATCAGTGTTGATCTAATAT